TTAGAAAACGAGGTCGGCTGCTTAACATTTCTAAAAGGAGTTCTAAAGCTGGACAATGCAAACAAATAAACCAGCATGCCACATGCAAAGGAAAGGAATTCAGGAATATAAATTTGCCCTGAGGTAGGGGGAATAGGAAGGTGTTCCCTGGCTGGAGAGAGACCAGAATGGTTTTTAATTCTTCTTTTTTTCTTCAAAGGGTTGAAGACCAGTCTGTGACAAAGAACACTTGGCGTGGGGTTCTGTGGTTTTTATACTTGACATTACCAGAGGTGATGGATAGAATGCTTTATACAGAGGACACGAACCTGTGGCCCACAGGCCTAAGCCGGCTTGTAGAAGTTTCCCTACTGGTTTGCAGGGGTCCTCAGGAAAGGATTTCCCCACCACCACCACCACCACCTTTGGAGACTAGCATGAAAAGAATCCTCACTATCACCAATCACTGATCGGAGAGAGTCGGGATTCCCTCCTCAGCTTCTCTCTTCCACACTTGGGAAGCGGGGAGGGAAAGCAAACCTAACATGGCTTTCAAGAACTTCTCCTCCTTTTGCCTGAAAGACAGAGAAGGGGAAGGAAATAAAACGACACACTCATCCTGTGAGGCCCAGTTTGTAAGCACCGGCTCTCTTTCTCTGCTCTTTCCCTCCATGAAGAAGAGAGTGGAAAGGCAAAACTGGCCACGATTCGGTCCCCTTCCCCCGGCTGGCTGACATGGGCTGAGCCTCCTCCCCCTTCCCCATAGCCTATGGGTCAGTGGTGCTGCTGACCATCACATCACTAAGGACTCTTCTCTTCTTTTCCCCTTCCCAAGGCCTTTTTTTTCTTTGTAAGATGAAGAACGGGGCTCATGGTATCAGGTGAAAAACATATTGTGTTTTACCAGTCTTATGGCTGTCTTCAACCCTATTTAGCCAGAGATCATAAGGAGCGGGGGAAAAAATCAATGTGCATGTACCCTAAAAGCAGTGGTATTTCTGCTATTTCGCCCTGGAGCATTTGGTGTACTCCATCTCCCAGAGTCCCCCACTTTGTAGCCACTGGTCATGACAATTCTGGGCTGGGGAATTCTGAGAGAATGTAGATCACCAAATGTACTCCGTCTCCCAGAGTCCCCCACCTTGTAGCCCCTGGCCACGACAATTCTGGGCTAGGGAATTCTGAGAGAATGTAGATCACCAAAGGAGTTTTCCCCAAGGCTTGCTTGAAATTCTATAATCTGCCTCCTGATTCTGTTGACTTCTGGCGGGGAAAAGAACAAAAGGCTCGGCTGTACAACCTTCAACCTTTTGCCATTGGCCACCTTGTCTGGAATCCAGAAGGTGGAAGTAAATGCCAAAAAGACCTCCGGGTAGGGATGATGGCTATAATACAGCAGTGGGCTAAAAGCCATGGGTTCTGCAAAGACCTACATTTCCCTTTGTTATATTGCACCACTGTGTGTGTGTGTAAGGGGTGGGTGTGTGTGTGTGTGCGTGTGTGCGTGCGTGTGTGTGTGTGTGTGTGTGTGTGTGTGTGAGAGAGAGAGAGAGAGAGAGAGACTAAAAACAAATCGGGAATGAAGAAACAGTACTGTATGTGCAAAGGAGGGACACAGGTTGGGTGCCAAGGAAGTACACAGAGTATTTACTACAAGAAAAAGCCAGCAGTGCCAACATTTCCATCTTTAACGGAGACGAGGGGGAAGGCGGTTATGAAAACAAAGGCAATCCAGAGGGCAAAGCTGGAGAGCAGGGGCGTCTTGTCTGTGATCAGACTCAATGGGACGGTGATAGTTCTAGAAACTTAAGGGTGATGTTCAGAAGATGACTTGAAATCTGGCCAGATGTGGCTGTTCCATCCATTTCTTCTCAGCTGTTTGTAGGAGAGAAGAAGAAGAAGAAAAATGAAATTCAGCCTCGAAATTGTTTCTCAGACTTTATCCAACAGCTTCCTTCCTGGTATCTAGAAGGAATGCTTCCAAAACGTGCCCCCACAAAGTCTGGCGGTGCATGGGATTAAATGGAGGGGAGGTAGAGCTGGTGTCAAAAGGGGGGCTCATTTTTCTTTCTCCCTCCCTCTCTCCCCCCTTTCTATTCTATTCTATTCTATTCTATTCTATTCTATTCTATTCTTTCTTTCTTTCTTTCTTTCTCTTCGATTCATCTTTGCCTGTTTTTAAGAGTCTGAAAAATAGGTACAGGTGCAAATCCAGTTGCAGCTTTGGGCATGCGTAATAGCTTCCCCCTCCTGCTTCCCAAGCTACGTTTTCTGGAGAAGCCAGCAGGATTCCTGTAATATTAATAGCATAGCCCTTTACTTCTAAAGGGAAAGACCACAGCCTGAGATAATCTCCCCTAATTAGAGAAAATAGTTAAGTAGAAAAAAAAGAGAAAAGATCAAAGAAAGGGAATCTGGCTTTTTGAATTCATCCAAATGATCAATTCAAAGGAAGCCCTCCTCCCCCCAGATACATTTTAATCTTTCCTGAATAAATCCGCATGATCTGCTTATCACAGATTTTTTCCCCTCTTTGCTTCTTTTTCGCAAGGTGGATCTGTGTGTTATTCCTCAAAGGCTAAGCGTTTGGCAGGAGTTACATTTTCCCAAGATCACCGTCCTTATCATGGATGGTCCTCCAGATTTTGTTGGACTACAACCTCCATTAAACCTAGCCAACATGGCCAATGAAACCTAAGGGATCCTGGTTGCTGAAGTTCAATAAAATCTGGAGGACCAGAGTTATCCAGCCCGCTGTATAGTGCTGTTGGGAAGATGGGATTCTTTCTAAAACTGGGAGACTCCTGCAATTTGGAGAGCTGCCTGGAAGGTGGTTGTACAACGGACATGCCTTAGACAAGTCCTGCAATGGCACTAAGAGGGAGAGACATGCATCGACCTCCAGCATCTCCAACAGCTGGACAGGTTAGATTTGGTTTTTGTTTTTCAACTTCGTGTCTTCAAATTTTATTTGAATTTTGCCAGAGAAGTAAAACACCAGTGTAAATTTTACTTACTTACTTAAGCAAGTTTTATTGTGCAGTCGTAGACCCATTCACACAAAAGTAAAATAGATAAAATAAATGCATACTGTAATATAGATCTTGCTATAGCATTTTGCGCATTCTTATAGCTGAAAATAAAAACTTAGGCACTAACTATGTAATTATTTGATTCTCTCCAGACAACAGAAATTTCAAGTAGCTTGTAGGAGGTAGACCAGTCATGAGTGAACCAACTTCCTTCCTTCCTTCCTTCCTTCCTAGGAGGTAATCCAGTCCTTCCTTCCTTCCTTCGAAGTCCAATGGCCTTGCAAAGTCAGCATAGGCATTTGCTGTTGTGCACTGGGTCACATGGCCTGTGTGCAGCAATAGCAAATGCTGTTGTTATTTAGACATATATACCACTCCATACTGCTAGAGCACTCTCTGGGTGGTTTGCAACATAATTATGCAAGGAACAGTTTGCCCACCCCCACCCCCAGAAAGCTGGGTACTTTTTTTTTACCAACCCCAGAAGGATGGAAGGATGAGTCAACTTTTAGCTGGCTACCTGAACCCCCCAGAATCGAACGCAGGTAGTGAGGAGAGGCTTGAATGCAGTACTGGAGCTTGCTAATGGCCTGCACCAGGTTCTTAACTTACAGCTACAGTACTTGTGGTTCCGATCCACACCAGTGGCAAGAATAACTATTAAGAGGGTTCCGGGTTGTGAAGAGATCAAGTCAGTTGGACATGATAATGAGGAAGGTGTATTTTGAAAGCTCACCTTTGTTGTTCCTCCACATGCAGTAAAGAAACTACCTTCTGTTTATTTTAATACCGTAAGCTGCCTTGGATCATTTTTAGGAGAAAGGCAGTGTATATTTTATTGATTCTACTTATTATATACCCTGTTTCCCTGAAAATAAGACCTAACCTGAAAATAAGCCCTAGTATGATTTTTCAGGATGCTCGTAATATAAGCCCTACCCCAAAAATAAGCCCTAGTTAAGTGAAACCCCACCCTCGACCATTGTGCAACACTCTGAAGCAACCAGACATGACTGTATTTGAATAATGTATATTTTATTGATTCTACTTATTATATACCCTGTTTCCCTGAAAATAAGACCTAACCTGAAAATAAGCCCTAGTATGATTTTTCAGGATGCTCGTAATATAAGCCCTACCCCAAAAATAAGCCCTAGTTAAGTGAAACCCCACCCTCGACCATTGTGCAACACTCTGAAGCAACCAGACATGACTGTATTTGAATAAATGTAGATTGTTGTACATGGAAAAAAATAAAACATCTCCTGAAAATAAGCCCTAATGCGTTTTTTTTGGAGTAAAAATTAATTTAAGACCCTGTCTTATTTTCAGCGAAACACTCTATTAAGAATAAATTGTATTTATTATATAAATAGAATCCATCCATCCATCCAATGATTCTTGTACAAATGTGCAGTCATCATCATTCTTCTGGAACCACAGTGGTGCCTCGCTTAACGATTGCCCCGCATTATGACAAATCCGCTTTAGGACAATCTTTTTGCAATCGCAATTGCGATTGCAAAACAATGGTCTAAATGGGGAAATTTCGCTTTGCGATGATCGGTTCCCTGGTTCAGGAACCAATTCTTCACAAAATGTTTTTAGAACAGCTGATCGGTGGTTTCAAAATGGCCACCGGGTAATTAAAATGGCTCCCTGCTGTGTTTAGGGACGGATTCCTCGCTATACAGGCATCGAAAATGGCCGCCGTATGGAGGATCTTCGCTGGACAGTGAGTTTTTACCCCATTGGAACACATTGAATGGGTTTC